CAAAAAAAAAAAAGGCATGGAAAAATGCTCAGCCTCACTAATCATCAGGAACATGCAAACCGAAACCACAGTGAGATGCTGCTTCATACCCACCAGGATGACTGTTGTCAAAAAAGACGGAAAACAAGTGCTGTTGAGACTGTGGAGCTGTTGAAGCCCTTGTGTGAGACTAGTGGGAATGTAAAATGGTGCAGTATGGTGAGTCTTTGAAAATTAAACTAGGCCAGGCTCGGTGGCTCAGCCTGTAATCCCAGCACTGTGGGAGGCCAAGGTGAGTGGATTGCCTGAGCCCGCGGGTTCGAGACCCACCCAGGCCACTTGGCAAGACCTCATCTCTACAATAAATCAAAAATTCGCCGGGCATGGTAGCACACGCCTGTAATTCTGGCTAGTTGGAAGGCTGAGGCAGAAGGATCGCTGGAGCCCAGCAGGTCAAGGCTGTGGTGACCGGGAGCATGCCATTGCATTCCAGTCAGGACAATGGAGTGAGACTCCAACTCAAAAAAAAAAAAAAGAAAGAGAAATTGACCTCGATTTACCTTTGATTCAGCAATACTCCTTCTGGGCTTATATCCAAAAGAATTGAAAGCAGGGTCTCACCGGACTCAGTGGCTCAGTCTGTAATTCCATGCCTTTGGGAGGCTGAGGTGAGTGGATTGCCTGAGCCTGCGGGTTCGAGACCCGCCTCGGCAACTTGGCGAGACTTCATCTCTACAATAAATCAAAAAATTAGCCGGGTGTAGTAGTGCGTGCCTATAGTTCCAGCTACTTGGAAGGTGGAGGCGGAAGGATTGCCAGAGCGCAGCAGGTTGAGACTGTGGTGGCCAGGAGCAGCCACTGCACTGCAGTCTGGGCGACAGAGTGAGACTCCAACTCAGGAAAAAAAAAAAAAAAAGAAAGCAGGATCTCGAGGCAATATTTGCACACCCATGTTCACAGCAGCGCTATTCACAATAGTCAAGAGGTGGAAGCAACTCAATTCCACTGACAGATGACTAGATAAACCAAATGTGGTATGTACAGGTAATAGAATAGTATTCATCCTTAGAAAGGAAGGAAATTCTGATGCGTGCTGCATTATGCTAAATGAAATAGGCCAGTCGTAAAGGGGTCAAGACTGTATGATTCCACTTACAGGAGGTCCCTAAGGTAGAGGTCAGATTCATGGAAACAAAGTGGAAGGAGGCCATCAAAGGTTGGGGTGGGGACTGGGAGATGGGATTTACGGTTGGTGTTTGTGTTTGGGAGGATGAGAAAGTTCTGGAGCTGAGTGGTAGTGATGGTTGCACAGTTGATGGGTGGTCTTAATGCCACTGAGCTGCATACTTTAAAAAAAAGGCTAAAATGGTAAAATTTATGTTATATATATTTTGCCTTTTTTTTTTTTTTGAGTTGGAGGTTTACTCCGTTGCCCAGGCTGGAATGCAGTGGCACGCTCACGACCACCCCAGTGTCGACCTATTGGGCTCCCTTGATCCTTCCACCTCAGCCTTCCAAGTAGCTAGAACTACCGGCGCATGCTACCACACCCAGCTACTTTTTAAAAAAATTTATTGTAGATATGAGGTCTTGCCAAGTTGCCCAGGCTGTTCTGGAACCCGTGGGCTCAGGCAACCCCCTCACCTCGGCCTCCCAAAGTGCTGGGATTACAGGCTTGAGACAACACGCCTGGCCTTACTTTCTTAGTTTAAAAAAAAAAATTCCTTTGCCAGTACCCTGGAAGTGCATTTACTTGCTGGGTAAAATGAACATCCTTAGTTCACCTCTTTTTTTCCTTCAGTCGGAAAAGCCTGTCATTCCTTGTCTTCCCTGTCATAGAGATGATTGATAAACAGAAAAGTTAGAGTTGTCTTTCTGTGTGTGAGTCACATAAATGTGCTTTTGTCTGAAGTTAGGAAGGTGTGGCCTTCTGTCTTAGTGAGCTCTTCTCTTGCAGTTGCTGTAGGTGTGTTGCTAATTGTATGTAAATATACAGTGTCTTTCTGGCAGGTGCCCACATCTTTACCAATTGAGAATGCAGAACTTCAGAGTTTATAAAAAAAGCTTACAATTCCATCAGGATAAAACATTGTAGAGCAACGATTTTAAACACAAATGTCAGCAACTTTTATAAAACAGGGAGTAAAGTGTTTTTATTATAAAGGAAGAGATTTTAGAGCTCATAATAGATGTAGGATTTTGCTCAATGGTTCTGGAAGGGTGAAATGAAGTGTCTTCTTAAAGTTCTTTGGCAGCTTTCCAACCAGGCCTGTGGCTCCTGGCAGCCCCTGTTCGGCGTTTTCCGAGGTGATACTCTGCCTGCCTTATGAAGGGAAGACGAACTGGTCTTATTTTTCCAGTAGTTCAGTGGTTTAGCTATTTGATGTCTACTCTGCTTTTTATTTGTTTATTTTTGAGTCAGTGTCTCACTCTGTTGCCCACGCTGGAGTGCAGTGGCATGATCACGGCTCACCACAGCCTCCAACTCCTGGGTTCAGGCGATCCTTCTGCCTCAGCCTCTCGAGTAGCTGGGACCACAGGCATGTTCCACCATGCCTGGCTAACTTCTTTGATTTTTTTTTTTCTTGCAGAGTCGTGGTCTTACTCTTGCCCAGACTGGTATCATGTAGTCCTAGGCTCATGTCATTGTCTTGCCTTGGCCTCCTAAAGTGCTAGGATGACAGGTGTGAACTACCACACCAAACCTGCTTTTTTAAAAAATTGATAACCGGGCTCGGTGGCTCAGCCTGTAATCCCACGCCTTTGGGAGGCTGAGGTGAGTGGATTACCTGAGCCCGCGGGTTTGAGACCCGCCTGGGCAGGCGAGACCTCATCTCTACAATAAATCAAGAAATCAGCCAGGTGTGGTAGCGCATGCCTGTAATTCTGGCTACTTGGAAGGCTGAGGCGGAAGGATCGCCGGAGCCCAGCGGGTCGAGGCTGCGGTGGCCGGGAGCGGCCGCTGCACTCCAGTCTGGGCGACAGTGAGACTCCAACTCAAAAAAAAAAAAAAATTGATAAAAAAGTTTTGTTTGTTTTCTCCCCCAGCTTTATTAAGTAATAATTGACCATCCTGTCTTGATCTCCTTTGAGGCTAGACTTTTTCCCTCCAGAACTCCTCTCATGTAAATTATTACATCAGAATATTCTGAACATTGCTGCTGATATTTATAAGTGTGGAGTTACATGGTCTAGCTTTGATATGTTCTTTTTTTGGCATTCCAATGTATTCTCCAAGGGAGAAACGGGAAGATTTCTCCAAAGATGGTAGAATTGTCACTGTTAGCTGTTACAGTAAGTTACATCAGCTTCTAAGCTGCTCAGAGATGAAAGGGCTTTTAGTCTTGTGCTGACTGTCGATGTATTCACGTGATCCTCTTAAGAAGACCTGTACCCTCCTGTGGCCATATTAGGAATGTGTATAGAATTTCTCCAAGTTTCCAGTCCTGTGCAGAATGGCAGGAAAGCAGAGTCTTAGAGCAGAGCCAGCCCAGGACGGGAAGGAGCTTTCTGTAACACTGCCAGAGACAGCACGTCTTTGGAGAGAGAAATTATGCTGACAGGTAACTGGTGTTTGTTTTAGGGTCTCAGGCACACTGTCATTGGCCTCTATTAGCTCGTTTATATCAACTATAAAGTTGTTTCCAATGTTGTAGCTCTTTTAAATGTGGGGAAAAAAATGAGAACTGAAAGAAAGGCAATTCTTTTGGGTTATTTTAGTAACATGCTTTGGCCTCCCTTGTATTAGATGGCCTGGGAGGGTCCATGCAGAACGTATCTGAGTGCTGTTTTTCAGTTTCAGTAGCTTTAGGGGGTACAAATAGGTTCTGGTTACATGGCTGCATTGTCTAGTGGTGAAGAAGTCTGGGCTTGGTTTACCCCCCACCTGTGTGCATGGGCCCAGACAGGTGATTTTTCGTCCCTCTACCCCCTCCTTCCCATCTCCTGAGTCTCCGATGTCTGTTAAACCATTCTCCATGCCTTGGCAGGTCCTTAGTTTAGTTCCCACTTGTAAGTAAGAATGTGTGGTGTTTGGTTTTCTGGATGGTGTTCTCCAATTCCACCCAAGTTGCTGCAAGAGACGTTATTTCATTCTTTTTTTTTTTTTTTTTGGTGAGTTGGAGTCTCACTGTGTTGCCCAGGCTAGAGTGCAGTGGCACACTCATGGCTGTCCCAGCGTCAACCAAGCTGAACTCTGGCGGTCCTTCCACCTCAGTCTTCCAAGTAGCTGGAACTATAGGCACGTGCTACCATGCCTGGCTTTTTTTTTCGAGTCAGAATCTTACTCCATTGCCCAGGCTGGAGTGCCATGGCACACTCACAGCCACCACAGCCTCGATCTGCTGGACTCCAGCAATCCTTCTGCCTCAGCCTTCCAAGTAGTTGGAACTATGGGTGTGTGCCACCACACACGGCTAATTTTTTATTTTATTGTAGAAACGAGGTCTTGCCAAATTGCCTGGGCTGGTCTCGAACCCACGGGCTCAGGCAAACCATTCTCCTCAGTCTCCCAAAGTGCTTGGATTATAGGCTGAGCCACCGAGCCCTGCCTATTTCTTTCTTTTCTATGGCTAAACAGTATTCTATGGTATGTGTGTGTGTGTGTATCTATGCCAGATTTTTATAATCCACTGATTTCTTTGATGGGCATTTAGGTTGATTATACATCTTTGCTGTTATGAATTGTGCTACAGTAAACATCCGAGTGCAGGGGTTTTTTTTGTATAACAACCTCTCTTCCTTTCGGTGGATACTTAGTAGTGGGATTGCTGGATCAAATGGTAGATCTACTTTTAGTCCTTTGGAAATCTCCATGCCAGTTGCCATAGAGGTTGTACTAGTTTGCACTCCCACCAGCAGTGGCTAAGTACTCCCTTTTTACCACATCTGTGCCAGCAGACTGCTGAGTTTTTTTTCACCTAAGGAAACTGTAGTTTTAAAGGCCAGTGTAGGTACAGTAGTTGCATATCAATCAAATATTTTCTGTTCCTAAATCAGCGGAAGGTCCTGGGAAATCAGATGATGTCGGAAAAGAAAAACAAGTACTCCACTCCAGAGTCTGTGGCCATCGGTGAATTGAAGAGAACCAGCAAAGAAAACATGAACTTAGTAAGACACTGTTCTTTGAACTTTGAGTGTTTGCACATTTGTAGAAAGAAGGCGGGATATTGATATGCTGTCATGTTTTAGTGTTTCTTTGAGGCATTTCATTACCATTTTCTTGATTAATCTTTTCATTTATGCCACCTTTCTGTAGGTGTCATTGATGCATTCAACAAACACATTTTGAATTCAAGAAGGATATATAGCTAGTCATAAGCAGGTGACCAATACAGTACAGTAGCTTCATAAACACTGACTGTAGGAGTAAGGAATTCTTACTGGGAGGCTCTCCAGGGCAGGTAGCATTTGTGCCAGGCCTCGGTGGCTCTACATACCTGTGGGGTGGTTCTTCCAGGTATCTCGGGCATGCCTCCCTCAGGAAGCCAGCAGCAAGTCAGTTAAGAGAGAGCCCAGGCAACTTGGCGAGACCTCGTCTCTACAGTAAATAAAAAAACTATCTGGGAGTGGTGGCGCATGTCTGTAGTTCCAGCTACTTAGAAGACTGAGACAGAAGGATCACCTGAGCCCAGCAGGTCAAGGCTGTGGTGACTGTGAGCATGCCATTGCACTCTAGCCTGGCTGACAGAGTGAGACTCCAACTCAAAAAAAGAAAGATTAATGAGATATAAATACATCCTCTTCAGTAAAACTCCTCACATTGAAATTGAACAAGTAAATATGTCCTCTGTTAGTGAAGTCTGGCTATAGGAATGCATTAGAACACTGAAACCACTAAACTTTTCTTCTTACAGTTGTCTGGCTCCCCAGCTGTCACGATTTCACCAACACGATTGAAATGGTCTGAGGGGAAGAAAGAGGGGAAAAAAGGTACCAATTATCCTTATTCTCTGTTCCTGCTGAATGCAGTTCCGTCCTGCCTCTGGTTAGCTGAGCGTTGTAGTCAGAAGTGATGTGGAAATTGCCAGGCCAGCTCCTTGCCCTTTAACACATTCACCAGGTGGCTCTCGAATATCTGCTCAGCACTGTCCCAGGGAAAGAGCTGTGAACACAGACAGGACGCACGGTCACGTGGCTGAAGGACGCTTGTAAGCAAATGGAAAACTCGTGACTCTGAGCCTGTCCCACAGCGCCTAGTGTGCTCACGGCCCAGCCCTGCTCCTGTTCTGTAGAGACAGTGTTCCCACAGCCAGCTCCTGCTGACGGGCTCTGGGTCACATCAGACACGTGTCTGCGACTGCCTGGGACAAAGAGGTGTGTTTAGTGCCACCCTACTCACTGTCCTGGGCATCTGGTGAAAGGCTGCAGTGCTGTCCTCTGAAGGGCCGGGTGGCCACTGGGCAGACTGTGAGACTCGGGCTTAGTCCTGGCTGGAGTCCTCATTCTCTGACCTGACTGAACCCCAGTTCCCGCCTGTGGACGTGAGGATGCAAGTTACAGCTGCTTCATAGCTTGGTCATGAGGCTCAGTCGAAACAATGTGGTGCAGCCATTGTTCACTTCAGCAAGTGGCGATCATTGTGACTGAAGAAACCCGGGTGAGACTCGGTCTTGCTGTATAAGGCTCACATGGCCACTGATGTGACCTCTGCTGTGACATGATCGCTCTGTCACTGAGACACGAGCATCGTTGCTATTTGAAACATCAGCAATGACAAGAGAACAGAAGCCCAATCCTTACGGATACATTCTTTTCTAGAAAATTAGATTTCAGTCTCATTTCACTTATTCTATTTTTTTTTTTTTTGAGTTGGAATCTCACTCTGTCACCTACACTGGAGTGCAGTGGCTGCTCCTGGCCATCGCAGCCTCGACCTGCTGGGCTCAGGTGATCCTTCCGCCTCAGTCTTCCAAGTGGCTGGAACTACAGGCACACGCTACCACGCCCGGCTACTTTTTGATTTATTGTAGAGATGAGGTCTCGCCAAGTTGCCCAGGCAGGTCTCGAACCTGCAGGCTCAGGCAGTCCACTCACCTCAGCCTCCCAAAGCGCTGGGATTACAGGCTGAGCCACCAAGTCCGGCCTTACTTATTCTTGAATGAATTATTTGAGCCTTTTTTCTTTCCTCCTTAGCTGCTGACCTCTAGGCTGGGCTGTCTGATTGAGACAAGATCAGTGTTTGAGTTATTTACGTCTTAGTATTTCTGTCTACATGTCCATGAGTCAAAACCCAGCACACATTACTTTTGAAGGCTACATTGTTTTGCTGCAGTTACGCCCTTTTTTCTTTGAGAAAGCAGGATTTATTGAGATGACAGACAAGCTTCCACAGTGGGAGGGGACCCAAAGGGGTTGGTGTTTTTGTTGCTTTCATTTTTGAAAATAATGAGGAAATAATAAGTCTTTCTGTATTGCAAACTCTACTTTGGAAGGAAAGAAATGCATTTTCAAAACCGGTTTGCTATTTCACCAGAAAGTGTTAGAGCAGGAATTTCTGACCGTTGTTACCGGTGGACTTCCTGGGAGCATCTAGTGAAGTTGCTGGTATTCTTGCTGCGGTCTTTGATGTGAGTGCAGATGTGGATTTTTCTGGGGAGAGAATATATGGTTTTTATTAGATGATGATGATGATGATTTTTTGAATTGGCCTCACTCTGTCGCCCAGGCTGGAGTGCAGTGGCACACTCATGGCCACTGCAGCCTTGACCTGCTGGACTCAGGTGATCCTCGCGCCTCAGCCTTCCAGGTAGCTGGAACTACAGGTGTGCGCTGTCACACTCAGCTGATTTTTCGATTTATTGTAGAGACGAGGTCTCGCCAAGTTGCCCACGCTGGTCTTGAACCCGTGGACTCAGGCAATCCACTTGCCTTGGCCTCCCAAAGTAGTGGGACGACCGACTGAGCCACTGAGCCCATTCTCTTGTCTGTCTCCCTCTCCCCTCCTCCCGTGTCTGCAGTGCTTCTATTGACTGCCCGTCCTTCTTCCTTCTTTCTCCAGTGCTCAGCCTTATGCTCCTGGCTCTTCTTGCCTCTTGCTTTCTCCCTTCTTGGCAGCTTGGTCTACACAGTTGGTTTCTGCTTTCTGTGGTCACTGCTGCCATTCCCACCGTACCAGGTCTGAACTCGCTTCCGGTCTCCACACCCACAGGCCCAGGTGCCTGCCACTTATTTCTTTTACACAACAGTGGATACAACCCCAGATTATTTTGATAGTGATGTTTATAATCAAATATTCTTTGAGGAAGATTGTGCAATTTTATTATCGTCATCACAGCACAATCCAAAAAGACATTTATTTAGCATAGGGCTTTTCCCCTTGGCACACTCCTGATGTTTTGGTGAGATAATTCTTGGCTGTGAGGCTGCCCTGTGCATTATTTGATGTTCAGTAGTGTGTGTGGCCTCTACCCAGTAGATGAGGATAGCACCTTCCCCCAGTTGTAATAACCAGAAATTTCCAGATGGCCCCTGAGGGGGACACCATCACCTCCAGATGAAAACGACTGATTTGCACTTGCTTATTACGGGCATTGCTTTCAATAGCCAAATCTTACCCATTCTTCAAAGCCTAAACCCCACCTCCTCTTTGGCTCACTCAGCTGGATATAATTACTTTTTTCTTTGGACTCTTATTGATACTATGAAAATGTTGACATTTAATGTGACTTACTATGTTTACTTTGCATGTATCATCTTATCTCTGTCGCTAGTCTCTCTTCTGGAAGATGACAGTCAGACTTAATATACACTTGTGACCTCTTGTCTCCTGCTCCCTCCCTCCCAGTATGACTATGTCTTGCTTCTGGGAGGCTGTTAAAAAGCGTTCCCCACCAAGAAGGTGGTGGTGGTAAGGCCGCTGCACTCAGTGAGACTTGGCTTCGGTCCCAGTTTTGCTGTTTGATAGCTGTGGATCCTGGGGCAAGTGACCTGTGTGTGCTGCATCTTCTTCATCTGCAAATGGCAGGAGTGTCAGCTCCTACACCAGTGGCTACGAGGACAGAAGGAGATCATGTACTTACAGGACATGAGTATGCACATCCCAAGAGGTAGCTGCTGCCGCCACTAAGATGATGGACTGAACCAAGATCAGATTCAGATCAGGCAGACTTGGTGTTTCCTTGATCGGAGACATACATTCGCCATTAAACTCTTAAGCCCCCAGTCTGGAGAATATATTAAGTGCACATTCTGTAGCTGTTAGGTGGGAGGTTTGCAAAGTGTGGCATTTTGAAATGTGTCTAATGCTCCTGTTTCTCCTCCAACCTAGGATTCCTCTGAAGAATTCAGAGCTCTCTTGCCGTCCACCCAGAATCTTCTCTTTAGTGGACCAGGTGTTCTGACTGCTCCAGTGAAGCTCGGACTTGCAGCCTGCTTGCTGCATTGAGAATTGTGAAAGCCAACTAATACCATGACCCGACTGCTACCTCTAACCCTCCCTGGATGTGTTTGTAAACTGTGCCTTCCGAGGGCACCAGGCTTGCCCTCCCTCTCTTCTAACATTCCGGGAAGCCACTAACTAGCTACATCCAACACAGCATAGTCAATGGGCAGAGCTGAGGCTCTGGGGCTTATGCACTGTGGCCAGGCCGCTTCCATTTTTAAAAAAATATGAAATTTGTGCACAACCGCTAGCAATTTTTTTAAAAAGCACTATCCATCTTAGTGGATTGAGGTTATGTTTAGTGGATATTTTGGGGTTTTCTGTGTTTTATCAGTGTTGGGATCTTTGGTTGTTGTTTGTATTTGTTTATTGTTTATTTCTTTGATTTAAAAGCCATTTTTGGGATGGGCTCTAAGCTAGATGCCTTCTTTCCCTTTTCCCCTGAGCTTTGAGTATGCGCTTTATCTCACGAGGCTGTGTTCCTCAATGCCTAATTGTGTCCAAAGACTTCATAGTTGTCCTAGAAATGTTTCATTATTTCTTAAGTCTGATATCAAAGGGCATTTGACCTGGGACTAAGGAGACTTCAGAGTGATGTACTGTTTTTTTTGTTTTTTGTTTTGAGTTGGAGTCTCACTCTGTCGCCCAGACTGGAGTGCAGTGGCCGCTCCCGGCCACCGCAGCCTCGACCCGCTGGGCTCCGACGATCTTTCCTCCTCAGCCTTCCAAGTAGCTAGAACTACAGGTGTGCACTACCACGCCCGGCTAATTTTTTGGATTTTATTGTAGAGATGAGGTCTCGCCCAGTTGCCCAGGCGGGTCTCGAACCCGCAGGCTCAGGCCATCCACTCACCTCAGTCTCCCAAAGGCGTGGGAGGACAGGCTGAGCCACCGAGCCCGGCTGAGCGATGCACTGTTTAACAAACGTCGATGGTTACACTGTTTTCCCTCCCCTTTCCATTTCCTCCTCACTCCTTTCCTCAGTGACGTGAAAAGACTCATGTTTACTGAGTGTGTTTTCTCCATCCAGTTTCTTCCTGACCAGGACATCTCTGATGCCATGCCACCTTCTGGGCCAGGTCACTGTGGTCACTGACTGGAGAGCTTTGCTGAGATGCTTGTTCATGGTGGGAGGCTCTGGAGTGTGCCTAGGACGGGGCTGGCTGCTGTGTCCTGTGTCCCTGGAGGACGAGGGGCCAGGTGTGCAGGCTGGACCGCCTCTTTTGAGCAAGTGGAGTCCGGAAAGGAAGTGGCAGCGGTCTCTGCAGGGCTGACAGGATTGACAGGAGGGAATGTTTTTAGTTGGATGCAGTGGTGGCCCGTCACCCGCATACTAGGGTGGCTGCAGCGGCCCTTGCCTTATCAGAGGGCATGGGTGGAGTTTGGAGATGGGCCTGGAGCTTTTGGTTTTGGATGGGTGAGTTCACATATGTTGGAGATAAGCCATGGCATGGCTGTCTCGTGCGCAGTCGTCATGCCAGAGGGCAGCGTGGGGCCGGCGGGAGTCTTCAGGGTGTACCGGGCTCTGTTGGTGCATAACCCTCTCAGGCCACTGTGGGGATGCAGTTGCCCAGAGACATATGGTTGACGGCCTAATTTTAAACAATTGATAAATGCTGCATTATTGCTGTGAAAAGTGACTCTGGGGAGCAGAATTTGGCTTTGTGTCTGGCTGGCAGCCCTCTTTGTGTTTTGTTTCTTCTGCTGCTGTAACAATAGTGGTGAAGAAAAGTGTCAAATGTGGCTTTCCCACTTGATAGACTGAACAAACAATGGACTGGAACGTGGCACTGCTTAGAAGCTTGTCCCTAGAGCAGTTTTATGTCATTCTTAATGAATTTGCTAGTGAATTTGTAATTAGCAAATTCATTTATATAGGTTTCTATTTAACTTTTCTCCTATTAAGAAAAAATCTTCCTTGCACCAGGTGTCAGTGAATTCTACAGAAAACCCTTGTGGCATTGTCACATCGGAGTCACGTTCTCCGTGACGTGACGCTTTCCTCCTCTTCTGGTGTAATGTGTTTCATCCTGGAGTAGTGTCGTGCTCTGATGTCCTGGGCCTGATGCCTCCCGTGGTCATGTTAGTTGTGGCTGTTTCTGGGTAGTAACTGAGTGTGGTCTGTGCCCTCTGGGTAAGGAGTACGTGGCCGAGGGTCACGTTTGACCGGGGGTGAGAGGGCTGTTTGTCATGTGCATATGTTTTGTTCAGTTGGTGCCTTGGGCAGCTTGTGTGTGTGGTTGGGTAGGTGTGTTTGGCTTATTTATTGCATGTATTTTCCTTGCTTTAAGGGTTTTATAGGTTGTTTTTCTTATAAAAGCTGTGATCCAGTTAGAAAACTAAACTTGAGAAGTAACAGCATAACTTCTACCTAATGATATGTAACTCTTCTAATCCTGTGGAATCGTATGGAAAACTCAGACAAAAACCTGTTCTCATGTGCCACAGAAGGATGCTGTTGCCCTTCTGACCTGGTGGGCAGGTATTATTTTTGAGCCAGTATTTAACAAAACCTTAACCTGTAATATTTTTTAAAATCTGTTTTGTTTATTTTCGTGTTGGTACAGTGTCTTTGGAAGTGCCTCTTCTTGTAGCCTTTAAGATGTCCTTTCTTTCTGGGATTGGTTGCGATGGGTGTTGGGTGGTGTCCGTCTGGGGCACTGGCGTACACCGAGGGGCCAGCATTCAATAGCGATGCCTCCCCAACGGATCCTCATGTGCAGGGTGGGCTCCATGGGTCAGGATGGTGGGAGCTGTTGGCACTGGGATTTCTCACCTTTTATTGAAGTTCTGCTCGTGGACCAGTGAGTCTGGTTTGAAAATCTCCAGGCATATTAGTTACTTGGAAGGCTGAGGCAGAAGGATTGCCCGAGCCCAGCAGGTCGAGGCCGCGCTGGCCGTGAGCATGGCCCTGCACTCCAGCCTGGGCGACAGTGAAGGTGGATCCAGAGAGGCGATTGCACCTGAGCGCAGAACACACTAAGGGGTGGCAACATGTCATCATTGGGGGCCACAGTTGCTCCTGCATAAAGCGGAGCTCCTTCCTGAACATGCTGGAGTCCCCGGGAACGAGGACTCACCCCTGGGATGGGCAGTGCAGGGCTGGTGATGGCGGCGACGGCTGCGTGCTCCAGCGGTGCTGCTGGGTTGTGAGGGAGCAGTGGGGGAGTGTCAGCTCAGCTCTCACGGGAGCCGGCGTCAGTGTGTGGCTCAAGTTCTGCCTTCTGGGAGAAGCTGAGGTCATCGGGACTGTGTCACAGTGCCTGGCCGCGTCACCACGCCTACCTGGGAAGCCAGCTGGACCCCGTCTGCTTCCTGCCTTCCTTCAGGGCCTCACTTGGGTGTCTGGCACTGGCAGCGCTGTTCCGAGGTCATTGCCATGTGGAATTCCTTCTGCAGGAGAAGACCTGGCGCCGGGGCCCCCATCCTGAAGCCTCTGTACTGAAGATAAGACCTCAGCCCAAGCCGGGATGCCAGCATGGTGGGATTGTGCTGGAATCTGGGCAGGAGGCGGGTTCCTGAGCTGCATGAGCTCTTTAAGCAGTGGCAACTCACCGAGACGCACCCACTCAGGACTCACCATGGAGAGCGAGCTTCCCCCGATGGCTCGTGCTGGCTCATCCCAGGTGGAGCCAACGGAGGTGGCCTGGGAAGAAGGTGCAGGGCGCGTGCGTGGGTACCATGAGACCGAATGAGTGCGGCTATGCCTGTGCTAGAGAGCTGCTGTGACCCCCACACACTCAGGGCCCCTGGAGCCTGCCGGGGGAACATTCCCTCACCCCAGCGCTCAGTCCTAAGCAAGGGTTGCCTTGTGCGACCCAAGCTCACTCAGCAGGAGAAATGAGTTCCTTCTGTTTCACCTTCCACGCTTTATTCTTATTTGACTGTATGTATGTGACTGTAAAGAAACAGTCGTGTGTGTTGTCTTTCTTTTGTACTTATGTGCTATTCTGGAATTAAATGTTTTGTTTCCTGTCCCTGGTTTTAGCTGGTCTCTTAGCTCATGTCTTGGCTGATGGACTCTTGTCCCCAGAGCTGTGCAGCCCCACACAAGGCCGCTCTGCCTCCTCTCTGGGATCAGCAGGGATGGTGGAAGCAGGGTGGGGCTTCCGAGATTCCTGTGGCTGAGCTGTCAATGCTTGGCACAGATTTCAGTCTCGCACGTACTTTATTTACTCATTTAAAAATAAAGAGTGAGCCGGCCTTGGTGGCTCAGCCTGTAATCCTGCGCCTTCGGGAGGCTGAGGTGAGTGGATTGCCTGAGCCTGCGGGTTCGAGACCCGCCTGGGCAGCGAGACCTCATCTCGACAGTAAATCAAAAAATCAGCTGGGCGTGGTAGCGCATGCCTGTAATTCCGGCTACTCAGAAGGGTGAGGAGGAAGGATCGCCGGAGCCCAGCAGGTCGAGGTGCGGTGGCCGGTAGCGGCCACTGCACTCCAGTCTGAGCGACCGAGTGAGACTCCAACTCAAAAATAAAAAATAAAAAAGAGTGATGGTTATAGTAACAGAAAAACCGGGTGATAGGTTCATCTGGGGCAGGAAGGTACAGTGTTTCGACAACTCTGGCTTACAAACACCAGAAATGTATTTCTCCCCATTCTAGAGTCTTGGAAGTCCGAGATCCTGGTTCCAGCAGAGCTGGGGTTTGGGGAGAGCTGGGGTTTGGGGAGGGCTTCCCATCGGGAGATGGGAAGACACGGTGGAGGGGATGCGGGGTCTCTCAGGGGCTCTCGCGTGGGCACTCGGGGGATACAAACATTCAGTCCACAACAGCTATTCGTTATGTATGTATGTGACCTTGGGTATGTCCCCCAGCCTCTGTCCCCTCATCTGTAAGGTGGGGACAATAGCGGCTATCTCAACAATGCCTTGCTCTCAGTGGCTAGCGGATGTGAGGACCTAGCACAGGGGCTTTGATCTTGTGCTGTAGGACAGTTGTTTGCCCCTGTAATTTTTTGTAAAACATGTGCATTTGTATTTTTCGTTTTTTTTTGAGTTAGAGTCTCACTCTGTTGTCCAGGCTGGAGTGCAGTGGTATGCTATGGCCACCGCAGCCTCAACCTTCTGGGCTCAGGCCATCCTTTTCCACCTCAACTTTCCAAGTAACTGGAACTACAGATGGACGTCATCATGCCTGCCTGGCTAGTTTTTGTGATTTACTGTAGAGACGAGGTCACACCAAGTTGCCCAGGCTGGTCTCTAACCCCTGGGCTCAGGCAGTCCTCTCACCTTGGCCTCCCAAAGTGCTGGGATTACAGACTGAGCCACCGCGCCCGGCTGGCGTTTGTATTTTTCTAGGGGGAGATTTCATAGCTTTCACAAGCATCCCCAAGGAGTCCCTGACCACCTAAATTACTGAGACCACTAGCCCTTCCCAGGGCCAGCAGACGGCAACTGTTCGTTTGATATTCTCTTTCTCTGCCAAGGAGACATTAGAATCAGCAGGTCAGCGGTGCTGACATAGTTACTTTGATAACAAAGGTGTCATTGAAGAGTGGAATAGAAATAAGTCC